GAAAATAATATACATCATTCTATAGTGGTAATTGAATGGTCAAACACATTATTACATTTTCAATAAAATTGTTTTTATTCTTAATGAAGGAGTCTTGAGAATTATATATTTTCGAACTTTTTCCAACCATCAAAAATTTTTCAACTAATCCATCATGAACTTATCCAATTGAAGTTGGCAATAATTGATCGATTGAAGTTATTTAATCATCAATATCATAACCAAAAAATTATTTAAAATTGCTAGAATATTTTTGATCAATCTATCCAAAAGAATCAAATGAAACTAAAGATGTAACTGAAATAGCTTCACTATTAATATATTTTAAAATATGAAATGATTATTTAGACATAAAAAGTGATTCTTTTTGAACAGATTATAATTTATCAGCTATTTTTAGTTAGTTATTTAAATCATCTAAACAAATTATTGATAAGAGTAAATTAATTCGAAGAGTTAAAATATTTTCCAAATCTGGATCTTCTCGTTTTTACAAGAATTCTTTATATAATTTTCTAATCTTTTCAATTTAAATGAATATTTTATTAGATTAAAAAAGTAAGGAATCAAAATCCTTCAGTGTTCCATTTTGATAAAATAACCAAAACTCTTTACAAAAATTCACTTATTTCATAATATTTGTCATCAATTCATTTTCATAAAAAAAATATAAATTTAAATCGCTTAATGTCTTAAATTCAGATTTATTTATCATATATTTAGACCGATTTTATTATTCTAATTCTTTCTTATTATCACATTAAATTTTCTTTGTTAAATTCAAAAAAAATTATGGTGATTAATGATTGTTCTTTTAAAATCTATTAAAATTGATGACAATATCCTAAATACTCTTATATGATAAATATTAATTTTCTCTATATTTTTATAAAAATGTTGAAAATTTTATTGTTAATTATTCGAAAGTTTCTATTGGATACTCTTTTCTCATAGATATTTTTATTAATTTTTAAAACTAATATTATATCCAAATATATAAGTGATCACCATTAAAAGCAGTAGTTGTTAAAACAAATTTAGATAAATTCTTGTTACAAGGACATTATAAATCTTCACAATTTTTGCAATGTATATTTAAGTACTTTAAAACCTAGAATAAGCTAGTTTAAGTTATAGTTAAAGAATGAGAAAGTAGAACTAAATATTCTAAAGGATATTCATTCACTTGAAAATCAATAAATTCACAAAACTTAAAACATTATTCTTCAAAATAATTCCTGAAAAAGGTCGAATTTACTGCGAAAATAATCTATAAAATTAATAAAATTTACAGGTAAAATAATGGAGTATGTTAAAAAAATTATACCATCATCTTTTTTTGTAAAAATCCATATTGTAATCAAAACCCCAAAGATAAAAGAGCTGAAAAGTACTTTTGAGTAAAATACCGTTTCATTTGTGAATCCGAAAGGAATATTAACTAATACATCAATAAGAATGCATAGCATTATCATATTATAGCAAGTATGTATTATAATATAATAATCAGAGTACATTAATTTCCAAAATGATAATATAATAAGTAACTAATGTAAAAAGATTGTTATAAAATTCAAGCTTGAGTATTTTCTTAACAGTCCTCTTTGTAAAAATTCGTAATTTCTAAAACAAAACACAGATATAATTCCTGAAATTGAAACTAAAATCATCCCAGTAAAACTAATTATTAAGTAATGAGGAGATATGACAGTAAAACAATCGGAAGGATTAATTAAGGAATGTTCAGCTAGATAGGATTGTCGTCCACAAGTGATTACTCCAACCATGCATTCATTAAACGGTGTTAAAAAAAACCATTAAAAATTCTGAAAGTAAAATTTGATAAATTTGTTTATTGGGGAAGTGGAATGCAAAGGCTATTAATTATTTGCTAAGATACCTATATTAATATTTATATTAGAGCAATTAAATATATAGCACATATTGTAATAAATACGCTGTAATATGCAAACAAAGTCAATGGATCATAATGTATGATAATTAGCATAAAAGGAATTGATGATAATTAACTAATTTAGGCTAAATAGTCATTTTCATAATATTTAATTGATTTGCTTTCAAATTGACTGTATATATATCCGATAAGTTAAACAAAATAATAAACAATCATGGCCAAATTGCCATAATCAATATATTTCATTCTTCTTTCTGTGTTTGATCCAATTGTGATGAAGAATTATGTTAATTTTGAAAAAAATTGCATATTATATATTATTAAAAAATAAATCTCAACATGAAATCTAAATAGACTCTAAAATTTAAGGTTTGAATTAATTTTAGAGTTCATTATTTAGAGACCATAATTTCAGAAGTCAGCAGATTAAAATTTCACTTTCTCCAAACTTGATTTGAAATTTTTTAATATTATATTAGAAATTTTAATAAAATTTGTACGACAAGAAATAAAATTCTATAAAGTAAAAATGATTTATTCATCATGTTTTATTTATCTTCCTTAAATTATAATATGATATAAATAACCTTATAATTAGAACATTCTTAACGAATTTCCCTCTAAGTTTCATTAAAAATTTAAAACTCATTAAAATGGAGAACCAATATAAAATAAAATCCAGTTCAATATTAAGAAATTAATTTTTAATCTCTAAATACAAAACTTAAAATTTAATAGAATTCATTTCAAAGATGAAAAGCTTAGCTTTATATGAATTAAAGTTTATATTAAAACATGAAATTTTTATTCATTTAGACTTAGTAGATAAAAAAAACTTAATTAGAAAGTTTATTGATTTGAAACTATATTCTGTTTTATCTAATTTTAAAGGCTAAAGAGTTTAATTAATTCCATTATATTCTTATATTCAAATTTTAACTCATTAGAAAAATATTCATTCAATAATTTAGAAAATTTCAAGAGACAATGAAAATTATTTGATATTAAATAATACTGCAAATTTTATTATAAATCAGGAAAAAATAAAAAGAAAATAATTATAATTTAACATGTTTAATTTGATTTATTCCTAATTCTTGTATGAGAATTCAAAATTAGATTCATTATTTTATTATGTTATATGATAACCTTCAAGAAGGCAAGCCATATTATTTTATCCTAAATGAATTATTTATAATTATATCCATTATTATAAAGAAATGTATTGGTTATATTGTAAAAAATTATGCGCATAAAGTTAATAGAGGGCTTTAAAATTAGTTTGATCTAGATTCTTTGATTATTTTTCAATTGATGGATAATCATTATGATTTATGAGGCTATGTGATTAACAAAATATAATTGAATATTCTTAAGGAATTGAATAAATAAATGTAATTATTGAGAAGAGTGTATCAATTTGGATCAACAAAACATAGATTTGCTTCAGATATCAAGAGTACAAACAGATAGAAAATGAACTTGTTTTAAGCAATAAACAATGCTCTTGATATAGAATTAGGAGCAAATCCAAAGTACGTCATAAATATAAGAAAGGGCATTATTATTTGGAGAAGATGTAAAATTTGGAGGTGTTTTTCGATGCTCATAAGGATTGAATGAAAAGTACGGTACTGATAGAGTATTCAACACTCCATTGTGTGAGCAAGTATAAATAAATGGAGATTGATTAGGGAATTGGTGCATTTGGTATAGGATTGGCAAGTGTAGGATATACAGCAATAGCAGAAATCTAGTTTGGTGATTACATTTTCCCAGCCTTTGATTAGATAGTCAACGAGGCAGCAAAATTCAGATATCGATCAGGGAATTAATTCAATTGTGGAAGTTTAACAATAAGATCAACATGGGGAGCTGTGGGTCATGGGTAAAGAATAATAAATAATATTATAGTGCATTATATCATTCATAATCACCTGAGGCATACTTTGCTCATACTCCAGGATTAAAAGTAGTTGTACCAAGAGATCCAATATAAGCAAAAGGATTATTGCTTGCATCTATAAGAGATAAGAATCCAGTGATATTTTTTGAACCTAAAGCTTTATATCGGAATGCAGAAGATGAAGTTCCTTTGGATGATTACGAGGTATGATAAATCATAGAATGAATTTAAGTTGGAATTATCAAAAGCTGAAGTAGTTTAATAGGGAAAACATATAACATTGATTGGATATGGAACATCAATAAGAGTATTGAGAGAAGCAGCAAAGATGGCAGAAAAAGATGGAGTAAGTTGTGAGATTATTGATTTATAAACTATATATCCATATGATGGATAGACTTTAGTTGAGTCAGTTAAAAAGACTGGAAGGTATATAAATTAATAAATAAATAAAATAGATGTATAATAACACATGAAGCACCTTAGACTTGTGGAATGGGAGCTGAATTAAGTGCATTTATATAAGAGAAATGCTTTTTACATTTAGAGGCACCTATAAGAAGAATAACAGGATACGACACACCATTTCCTTTAGTACATGAGCCTATTTATTTGCCAGATAAATTTAAAATTTATGAGGCAATAAAAGAGAGTGTAAATTATTGATAAGAATAAATAATTATCTTAAATGGATAAATTACAAACATATCTCACAAAAGCATAAGATGCTTTGAAGAATTTCTATACAAAGAAAGGAAGAAAAGGAGTTGTGGGAATAGCAGCGATAAGTTTAGGATTACTTTACCTTTAATATTAGATTAGAAAGCATAATGGGTTTTTGAATATAAATATAATTTAAGATGGTTGTAAAAGAAGAGTGTAAGAGATGAACATATCTTTATTACAGGAGGTGCGAGTGGAATTGGAAGAAATATGGCACTAAGATTTGCAAAATTAGGAGCCAAAGTATTGAATTATATTATAGATAGATATCAATTGTAGATATTAATGAAATTGCTTTAGATAAAGTGATAAAAGAGATTAATAGCTAATTTGGAGATAAGACTGCAACTGGAACAGTTTGTGATGTTAGTGATCCTAAATCTGTTAAGAATGCTATTTAATTATGTGTTAATTTTCATATGAAGACAATTGATATCTTAATAAATAATGCAGGAGTTGTGAGTGGAAAACAAATTTTAAATAACACAGAAGAAAGTATTTGTAGATCAATAAATATTAATACGACTGCTCATCATTGGACAGTAAGAGAAGTATTAAGAGATATGATTTAAAATAAACATGGTCATATTGTAACCATTGCTTCTATTGCAGGATGGGTTGGAGTTAGAGGATTAGCTGATTATTGTGCTTCTAAATTTGGTGCTGTAGGATTTGATGAGTCACTTAGATTTGAATTAAGAGCAACAAAATCTAATGTTAAAACTACTTGTATTTGTCCTTATTTCATCAATACAGGAATGTTTGATGGAGCAAAATCTAAATTTCCTTTGCTTTTCCCTATTTTATCTGAAAGTAATTTAATCTTATTTAATTATAGATTATGCATCCTAAAGAATTGTCAATGCTGTTCTCTAAGAAGAAACTGTTGTAATTATGCCTATTATTCTTAATTTTGCTATTATGGTCAAGGCAATCTTTCCAACATCTATTTATGATAACATGATGGAATTCTTTGGAGTAAGTGAATCTATGGATCATTTTAAAGGTAGAACATAATCAAGTTGATATATAATCAAAACATATCATTATCATTAGTCTCATTTAATCTTTCTATTTGTTTCATACTCTTATGTATCATTTTTATTACATAATTACTTACATTTTTTACACATTTTATTTTTCAACTATGCATGACTAAAATCATTAAAAAAGCTTCAAAAAAGAATTCTTTTTTTGACTATGCTTAATTTGACCACTTTACTAATTCTTATTTCTTATATTATAGCACATAAGAGCATCGAAATTTTAATATTTAAAACTAAAGATAACTCCTTTTTACTTGATGGAATTGGCATCTATTAAATTTAGAACACCGTTTAAACATGTTTTTACAATATAAAATAACAGTCTGTAATGAACACTCAAATTAATTATATTAAATTTTAATTTTTGGAATATTGTATATTTATAGGTTTATAATAAAAATCAGATATTTATAAATTATTTAATTATCATGAGACTTTGCTATTTTTATTATCAATTTCTAATGCTTTAGAATAATCAGCTATTGCCAGATCCATTTCTCCAATGCTATAAATGTTTCTATATCAATAATACTTATCATAACAACATCCTCTATTGAAATAAGCATTTGCTCCTTAATCGTTCTGTAAATGAATTACTTAAGTGAAATCCTCTATAGCCTATCTATTTAAAAATATTCTACTTTACGAAATTCACCAATCCTTTCATTACAAATTCCTCTGTTATATATAGCATGAATGTTTACAGGATCTAATTTTATTGCTTTAGTGTAATCACTTATTGCTTCATCAAACTAACCCAACTTTGCTAAACAATATCCTCTATTATTCAAAGTTCTAGTATTTTCTTATGAATATATTAATTCTTGAGAATAACAATACACAGCTGTCTCAAAATCTTCCATTTTTCTCAAAACCAATCCCATGTTTGAATAAATTATAGGATTCTTAGAATCTAAAGACAAAGCTTTCTTGAAATCTTCCAAAGCTTCTTCAAACTTATTCATGCTTCTTTTACAACATCCTCTATTATGAATATAAACAGGATTCTAGGGTTCTATTTCTATAGCCTTATTGAAATCTTAACAGGCCTTCTCAAATTCTCCTATTTTATCAAATACTAATCCTCTTCCATTATATGCAGGTGCATAATTCTAATCTATTTTTAATGATCTTAAAATCAAATTAAATTTAATACGAATTGAAGTATTTTAATGCTTCTTCTAATTTCTATTGTCTATCCATCAATATTCCTATATGAGTTAAAGTATTTGGATTGTTTGGTACAACATTATTGGCTATCAAATAATCTTTCTAAGCTTTATCAAAATCTCCTAACTTTTCATAACAATTTGCCCTATTATAATAAGCCTTGAAATGATTTTTATCTAAACGAATGCATTCATTAAATTCTAAAATTGCCTCTCTAATTAAATTCTTCTTTTTCATAGCAAATCCTTTATTGTGATAAAAATCTGCTTTTGATGGATCAAGCTCTATTGATTTTGCAAAATCCTTTATTGCTAAATTGTAATCTCCTTTTTTATCATAAGATATCCCTCTGTTATAATAGGCATATGCATTCTTTGAATCAATTTCAATAGCCTTAGTATAATCACTGATTGCGTCATTGTACATTCTAAGTTTATCGAAAGCAAAGCCTAATCAAAAAATTAATTCAATTCATACCTCTATTAAATATTGATTTAAAATGATTTGGATTAAACATCAACCCCATTGTATAAAATTCTATTGCTTTTATAAAATCTTCTTTTTTTCTAGCATCAAAACCTTAAGAATGAAAAAAATCAGATATTTTTTTATTATCATTTTTAATATTCTCTGGTATCATTGATATTAATTATTATTACATAGGCTATGATATTTCTTTATCAATTATCTATGATGGTCTCTATATATTCATTTCATTTGCATCAATACTAGTATAAAGTGGATTCTAACTCATAAAACTAGTCTACTAAGGTTAGTTTTATATTTATGATTGATCATTTTACAAATATTCTTCATCATTCTAAGGGTTCATCAAATCATCTTCTTCAGGCTGTTAATATTTATTCTTTTTAGTTGAAAATTAAAAACCATCAATTTTTGGATAAGGTTCATCCTTTTTCATAGAACTATTTCTAAGTAACGATCTCTTATTTATAGAATTTGATAGATTTAGAGATTTAGCATTATCTTTCTCCAAAGCTCTTGTATAATCTTCTATTGCTCCAGCAAAGTCTCCTTTCAAATTTAAACAAGAAGCTCTAGCAAATGCAGCATTTACATGATTTTCATCTAAAGAAAGAACTTTTGAAAAATCTTCAATTGCTAAATCTATTTAACCCAATTTTTCATTTGCACATCCTTTAATTTCAAATTTTAATACCTCTCAAATAATATCCGCCAACGTTATCTCTGTCTGTTTCTAAAAGCTTATTGCAATCTTCAATTGCTGTTTAATATTCCCCTTTCTTAATATAAGCAGATGCACGAATATAAAGAGCTTTTTTATGATTTGGACAATTCTTAAGTTTCCCTGTACAAATGGCAATCAGATTGTCTATATTGATGGACTAAATTTTGTTTACATTCTTACAGGTCTGTACTTAGGAACTTTCTACTAACTAGGCAATTTTGTTAAGCCTGGTGCTTACATATTTTTTAAATTAGAGAAATTATTGAATAATTCTTTTTATCGTTTAGATGATTATTTTAAAATTTTCTAATTATTTTTAATATATATACAAATATACTCAAGGGGATTGGCTGAATTAAAATTCATTTTTTTTCTTACCCCTTTATAATTAGAAAATATTTAGTTGTAATGTTCTTCGTTAATGTCTAAAAGAATTGGCAAAATATCTAATTTAGATATGTGAATTCTTTTCATAATTTTTAATTATAAATTTTTTCTTTTTTTCTTTTTTTTGCAATTTTATATATATTTCTTGAGGTATTCAATATAATATATGGATTTTCACTTACATTTTAAAATTTTAGTTAGTAATTAAAGATTAAAAATACTCTTGTTTATTCATAAGCAAGGAAGTATATTACATTTCTAAATTTCATAATTTTGGAGCTTCAGCCAATAAATTTAAAATAATTTAAGAATTAATTTAATATTGATTATAATCATTTTTTAATAAGATTAGAAACCGAAGGCAAGGGCTAATCTAATTAAGCAGCTTAGAAACCAGGCATTTTAGATTATTTTTATGACAACTTAGAAAATGTATTCGAATCTTGAAGCTTTAATTTTGACCTATTGAGATAATTGTATTAAATTACTGAGAAGTGTAGAGCATTTTTTCATCAGTGCTCTAGTTAGAAAGTTATTGAATTAAATTTTAATAAATTTCCTTTGATATTCCTTAAGGGTTTTAAGCTATAGGATTGCTTAACATTCTTCTATGAGATTAATCACCTATTTTTTAATCTATTTTATTTCCTATTTCAACTAATTTTGCAGCAGATAATTAAAGATTGGAAATTTGTTTATTATTAAAGTCTTTTACCTATCTCTATAATTTAGCATTTTCTTTTGAAAAAGTATTTATTTATTCTTCATAAAATTATTTGATTGTTTCTATTTCATTCAATAGTTTTTCATTTTTGATATTATTAGTGTTTGATTAAGATTGCAAAGACAAAATAACTTCTTGCAAATTTACATTGTCTCTTCTAAGATTTCCTAATTCTAGATTTAGCTAATCAACTTATTCTTATAAAAATCTTTCCCTTTCTATAAAAGTGGCTAGATTTTGTAATTGTCTTTATAGGCTAAAGACAAACAATTCTAATCTTTGATTCTCTTCTGTTAGCTTCTTATTTTAGTCATGAAGATGTTCTTTAGTTAATTAAATCATGATTGCAATTTAGATTAAATGTTATAATATGAATTAATCTTCACTCACTATTTTAGGATAGATTTTGTTTGAGACTGTGAATCTAATCTTCAAAGTTTTTGATTTATTTCTACATAAGAGAGTTTTCTAATAACAACTATTCAATTTTTCTATTTTTTTCATTTAAAATTTGTAATTACTATTTCTAATCATTAGGTGAGGAATTTTGTGACTACATGAATATCAAATATATTTATTACACTCATACTTCCATGAGAATAAAATTGACTAATCTTATCAGTAGAATATCCACCTGCTCCTTATAATTTGGATGGTGTAAAATTGCTTTAATTTGAATGATACCTCTTTTAAAATGCATCCATGGCTGCTTATTTATCAAAAACTTCATCATCAAACTCTAAACAACTTAAAAATGAAATTGAAAACTTTACATTGATTAAATTGTAATTTATAATTCATCAAATCTTTAAGTTTTTTCAAAGTCTTTAAAAGCTATTTCAAAATTTTTAATAAATTTTTCTTAACTAGGATTAAGTTGACTATTTTTTAAGGCTAAAAGATATTATTTTGAATAAATTACAAAGTAATTCATTCCTAATGATAATAAGATCATTTTTTTAGAATTGGTTTCCATCTAATCTTTTCTTAATATAGAAAAAATCAGGTTAAATATTATTTGAGTAAACAAATGGAGAATTATTGATTTATTCTTTAGATTGAATATAGAATTCCTTCACTTTTTAAGAACTAAAATAAAATAGTTTAGGAAATTGCATTCCTTTTGCAACTAAATGATTATATCTAAAATAGATAATTTCTATATTACACTCTTGAATATGCTGATTATTATCCATCTATGCTTGGATGCCAGATATTCCAAACAAATAAACATTCACTTATCAATCTAATAAATGTGTTACCAAGAACCATGAGTTACTCATCTTTAATATATATATATAGCATCTACCAGGTTATTCCGAAAAGTATTGCTTTGCTTTTTGTCCTTTCTCACAATAACCAATTAGAATTTGTTCATAAATTGGAATGATTTTAATTTATACTTTTTCAATTACCAAAGCAATATGAAAATCCATTATTTCTTTCACTAACTGAATAATTGATTATATATTACTCTAGTAGATAATACCCTCTAAATTGGCAACGATTAAACATCATCCAAAATGTTACCTACTGCTTAAAGTACTCTTTAAGTTATTTCACTTTTATTATAGAAATTTCTATACATATTGTTTTCTACAATTTAATCTCTGACTTGCTTTATCTCTCTATAATGATTTTCAGAATTGAAACAATTTTTTATTTCATCTAATTTCATTTTCCTTTTATTATATTAAAATATACAAAAAAGTAATTGCTTATATAATCTTAAGAATAAAAATACATGACAATATTATGTTCTATTCGAATTGAAAGAATAATTAAAATTTATTTAATAAATTAAGTAAAACTTGTTATAGGTTTTGATTATTAATAATTACGAATCTTTAATGACTATAATTGGTTGTTCATCTTCTAAAAAAATCTATCCATGCTCTTTTAATAAAAAAAAATATTTTATAATCAAATAAACTAAAAATAACTTTATTTATAAAATAAAATAATAAAATGATAGGCGATTAAGATAAAATTTAATTTATAAGTGAGTCTAATAGATAAGATAAAAAAGAATCCAAATCAGATTTTAGTTTAATGAATAAAAACAATTAACTTAATAATTTCATATATTTTGGGGTAATTTTAACATTCACATGTATAATTATGTTGTTGTTTTGGAATGTTAATAAGTAAAATAATTATATATAACCAAAATATATTGAATTTCACAAATAAAATGCACATTTAATATGTATAAGTATTAATATAAGAAGTGGTGTCTTAAGAAGAAGTTGATTATTTTGATTAATGAAGCTACACAACAAAGGTTTCGAATTGTAATCAGACTGTTTTGAATGAAAAAACTTTAGTTTTTGTGAGTAATCAAATTGTGAAAGACGATATTAAGCATTGCATAAACCATTTATAGTCATAATTTAGTGATATTTTATTGATAGTCTATAATGCTATATAAGAATCTATATTAAAGGAGAATTATAAAAATGTGATTTAATACTATTTGTCAAACAAAGAATTAACAATAAGAAACTAAAAAATTAAAAAAAAAGAAAACTTAGAGGAGTATGAATAAATTGAAGTTATTGTTTAGATAATTAATAACAATTTTAAATGAACTTATATAAAATTATAAATTAATGTTTGAATATAGTATCTTTATAAGAGAATTTATATATTCATAAAAACCTATTAAACAAATAGTTCCACTATACACATGAACTAACATAGAATTTATCATTTATACTACTGCTTTAATTGAATTCATGAGGGAATTTTATTTGGCATTAATTTATAATCTTTATTAAATAGAGTTAAAATAATTATTTCCAAATTGAAATTTAATATTATTGTTCTCCATAATTGATAGTAAATTATTATAAAAATATTATAACAATTTATATTATCATAAAAAGTAATTAGAGAAAGTATTAAGAATCTTGTAATCTTTAGATTTTCTAAATTACTATTATCAACATTGAATTGAGTTAAGTCAAATTTATAAATATATAAAGATTCTGAAAAAAATTGATTAAGAAATAAGAGTCTTACTAAGTAAGGGTTCATCTTAGATTAATAAAGAAAATCGAAAATAAAGAAAAATCTAAAAAATACATTATAAACTTAAACTTTCAAAGATATCTATCAAAAATATTGTTTTTGAAATTAAATGAAAAAATATTGGTCAGTTAAAAAAAGTATAGAGCTTTTATTTAATTGCAGAGATTTGAAGATAATTCCTTGACCCTTCTTAGATGTTGAAAAGAATGAAATAGCATAAAAAATTGAATTGTTTTTAATTTCAGCCCTAATTTTAAGAAGGGACAAAAAAATATATATTAACACTTAAACTTCTTCTATAATGAAATTATGACATACAGTTAATCTTATTTAAATTTGGTTCATTGATATCTTCCTCATATCTATAGACTCCTTTTTTTAATTATTTTTAATCTATTATTCACATTTAATCCATCTTCATTGAATTTAATCCAATTCACTCTTAAACTTGCGTTAAATTAAACTTTAGCGATTAAATTAACTAATTATAGTTACTCATCTTCTATTTTGGTATTTAATTCGATTTTTTTTGAAACATAGAATCCCAATTAGGTATATTTTGTTTTAAAATTAAATTATACATTCTTTAACCCAACAAGTAATTTTATGTCTAATTCACTTCCTCTATATAATTCAAATTGTTCCATTGCAGGAGTTAATGATATGGTTTTTACTGAATAGTCATGTTTTAATTTCTATTGTAGTATCAGATGGATCATCTTCTTCAGATTGAGAAATACTTGAAACTGTTCTCATTTAATTTTTTTATATTATTTTTCGAATTCTATAAAAATAATTTATTTCTATTGATTTGTAACCTACTCTGCTTCTTAAATAAATTGGCTTATAAATATAAATAATGAAGAGGAACTAATCTAGTTTTATTTTTATAGATGTATTATCTAACTTTATCTTAATGAAGTTTTTTATTAAAAATACCCAAGAATCCATATGCTTTGAAATATTCAAAATAAAAATTAGATAATGATTCAATTTCATATAGTTCAGATAATTAGTATCCAATTAAAATGCTAGATTTATCTTATATGAGTAAATTCTTTATTTAATTGTAAAATTCATGAATCTGTAAGAAATGGAGAATATGATACATTTCATATAATTCTGAGGGAGTATGTATGTATTGGGATTTCAATGCCATTGAATGCCTTAATTAATTTATCAAGTAAATTGACATCTAAATTTTTTTAGATATAATCTATTTATCTTTCTGCATGATTTTCTTTTGACTATCTACCTTAGAATTTAGTATAAGGTTTTTTAATTTAGAAATGCTGATTAGAATATCGAGAAAGCATGATCATGAAGTATTAGTATTATTGTTATTATTGCTAAACTTGATTTATGATTATATCATTAAATTTGAGCACAAGCATAATTCGTTTTTAATTAATTATATATAAAAATGAGAATTGTTATAGTGCTATTGATTGGTTTGGTATTAAGTCTTAGTAATCGTTTAAGGCATTAAGCAAATTGGCCACAGATCCAAAAGTTGTGCTAGCAGAAATTGATGATAATCATATGGGAAAAACATTTTTGAATGCTATTTAAATTAGTTTAGCTACAGGGTCACCAGTACATGAAATTCAAAGTTACATTAATAATATCAGGTGAAACATTTATTTATAATTAGATTTATGTTGGAATAGGAACAAAAAGACTCTGATTTATATATCTAAAATACATAAGCCTCATGTAATAGGTTACTTCATGATTTTTCAACTAATTTGGCATATCATCAAAGCTAATTGAAAGCACATTCTAAAATTGTTGATGAGAATACAAACAATTTGCAAAGATCATTAAATAAAATTGCAGAAGTTTCTGTTGAAATTGAAGAGAATTCTAAAAAAACTAATGCAGGATAAAGTGAAAGAGATTTGCAATATGCTGAATTTTAATCTAAAATTAAAGATCATACAGAAGCTATTTCAGCTATAGATGAAGCTTATGCTTTAATTGAGCATCTTTCAGGGGGTTCATCTTTCATTTAAGTTAAGGGAAGATTCAATAAAGTTTTATCTAGATTATAGAGGTAAATATAACAAAAACAATTTAGTCAATCAACATCCAGCGGATTATTATTTTAACCCATTTTAACAATGATGACCTAACTATCAGCTAAATCTGATTCTGATACAGCTAAGAAAGTCTTGTAGTTATTGTCAAATTTGAGAGTTTAAATTGTTGAAAGCAAATCTAGTGATGAAGATATTGAAAAACAATAAAGTTTGAATTGGTAATAATTCTTATCAGATTTAACTAATGAAAGAAATACTTTGTAAATTTTTATATCATTCTTTTAGATCTGATTAAAGATAAAACCTTGAATAAGCTATCTTAAATTATCAAAGCATTATTGAAGAATCTTAAGGTAAAGTTGAATACCATGCAGCAGAAGTTGAGAGAAATCAAGTAAAATTTATTATTACAATTTCTAGTCCAATTTAGATGGTTAAGATTAATGGTGCAGATAATAATAAGATATCTATTAAATGGAAACTCAATCTAGAGTTTAATTACAAGACTTGATATCTAGAATCTCAGATCACATCCAAGATAAGATTGTAACTCTTAAGGAATATCTTAGAGAAAGACTCCAATTAAATTGAGATTAACAAAAACATTTAATATTATATATATAATGAATTCATTTATTAGACTAAAATATACAGAAATCATTTATACAAAATAGTTCATCAAAATTTAAGCGATTATTAAATACCTAAAAGAATTTAGACAATCTATCAAATCAGACTAGAAAAACAAAAGAGAATAATAATAATCATCATCTTTCTTTATTTTTGATTCCTCACTTACCATTAGTGAATTCTGAAAATTTAAATGATAACTCGATATCCAATCATTTTTGGTGCACATCTAAAAAGAGAGCCTTCATTGGGATTAAGGACAAAGAGATAATTTTCAATTATAAATAGAGTTTTTAAATATTACTCTGCTGATTCTCAAAAATTAGTTGGGATACTAAATATTGATTTTTAACTTATTAACTTATCGATATTAAAGATGATCAAGGAAATATTATTAAATTAATGTGCTTATCCTTTATTACATAAGTAGAATTAAACCTCAAGCAAAATTGAAAAAAGTTTCCAATTCAAAATTAATATTTCTCAAGAGATCTAAAAATGGCCATGTTGGTAAAAGTTTTTTGTGTTTCTTCTAAATTTTTTATGCAAAATTCTATAAGTATAGGAGGTTCTATTGAATAAGTTTTAAATTAATTTAATAGAACATATTTTTATTCAGAATTAATTGCAAAATGCAAACTAAAAGCATCTCGCCAACATAATATTGATCTGGATCTTTCTCATAAATAAATACTAAACTCAAGCTGAATTAAGCAGAGTTAAGTAATGAATATTTTATTGACTTTTGTCTATTAATAATTTTATTTAAATATTTTTGTTTTATTTACTTTTAACATGAATTTTTAATACACATAGTATTTCTTTATTTATTAATAAATAATTATAAAATTTTTGACTTTTTAATTATAAATTTTTTGATTAATTTTATATCTTTTTATTCAAATTATAGAATTAAACTTAAAGCCACAAACAAATTATCATTTACCGTCTATAAACAATCTTTAGTGAATCACATTGTTGAGAAAATATATTTTTAAAAGAAAATCCTTGATAATACTTATTTGTGTTTTTCGACACTTAAAAATTTGCCAGTTAAAGAAAATTCCAATAAAATTTAATGGAAAATTTTGTATTCCAATCATTAACTTGATAAATGGCTTTTTTTCTGATGATTCCAATCACATGTATTTGCGTTCAGTTGAAATTAAGAAAATTTTAACAGTTATCATATGTCATTTATGTATGAGAAAATTTTTTATATTCATTTTCACTACTGTTGCGTTTATTTTATCATTTGTTAGTTTTGTTATTTTTGTCATCAATCTTTTCTTTTTAAAGGATGTCTTTAATTAATCATGATTTTCTTTCAGAAGCAAAGGAAGCCTTATTAGATTTTTTAAAAGCTAAGATATTTATAATTAGAGTAGAATGAAGATATATATAATCAAAATTCTCAGTAATCCCAATCAGTGTAGGGTTTTAAACAGGACTTTGGTTATCCTTTCTTTTTTGGTTAATCAAAAGATGGTTAAAAGTCAAAGGTCTCTTTAGTCTATTAAATCTAATTCCTTAATCTATCTTTGAATTTGAATATTTCTTCGTCTTTATATCTTAAAAAAATAATTATAGTGGGAGCAAATCTGACTTTTTTTATAATTTTTTCATTTCTAAAGAAATCAGTGCTTTCTATTTCAACTAATGAATATGGTTTTTCTTCTTTTTAACTTTACGCTAATAAAGGTATGCTAAAGCTAGGTTTTGGTCCTTTTTGGAAATTCATAATTTTGGAATATATGAAATGAGAAATATTTAATATAATGAAATTAGTAATCATAATATTAACTAAATTAAGTTTATTTTTCTTTTAATAGAGTTCATAGTAAGAATTACTAGAATACAAGTTTAAATTTCTAATAGATAAGCTACTTTATTTTTTATAGTAAATTATAAATTCCATGAAGTAAGAATTTATTTTAATTGTTATTAATTCTGCCTTTAATTATTTCAATTAGTTATATTCCTATAATTAGTATAATAATAAACTGAATCAGAAGATTAAGTCATTATAGTTAATTTTTGCTTCTAAGTAATAAAGGATTTTGTTTCAAATTGTTAATTTAGTTGATAATCTGTGTAACTATAAATTTTCTTATAGTTTCGTTATATTATGATTGAAAATAAAGTTTCCTTTAAATTCCTTATCATATAATTTTTTAGTCCATTTTATATTATATTTTAGCTTCATTTCCATTAAATCTTGATATATGGTAGAAAATAATTGTAGTTATTATTATTATTTTAATTGAAGTTCCTGAACTTTAAATTCTAACTCAGTTTTATCCTGTAATTTTAAGAAAAAGCTTTACTAATGGATTTTGTATAGAGAATTCACCTGTATTTAATTTTTAATGAGGAAAATATAAAATTCTTGAATTAACAATTTAAATAGATATTTGAAATTGTATAATAATAAACCTCATTTCCATTTAAAAAATTAGCCCATTTTATTAATCAATTATTCTTAAGCATTGAAATAGTTAATACCAGATTAAAGAACACTTTAATTAGAAAAGAGGCTTGTCCATATATATATGAAATAAATTAAAACTCATAATTGATTATTTTTAACTTCATAATCAAGTTATCTGAGATATCTAATTTTTTTATTTTTATAGCATGAAAGTAGCTGTAAGAGATTTAATTAATATTTTAAAAATAGATTTTTAGATGAGTCTAATCTTGAAGCATTCAACTCATAAATTAGAATTACAACCTACTTATGACGCATTCTTAGAGCACATGAAAAAAGTATATAAATAACCAGAGGAAACGAGATATATGTAATTTATATGAATGTGCTAGTTACAGCGACAATAATGGTTAGAATTTTATAGTATAATCTAAAGAATAATATGATTTAATGCTAAAATGTTAGAAGGATAAGCCAACCCATAAAGAATTAAGGTAAGTTGATATAAAGAGAAAAAACAAAAATGAAAATGAAGAAGAAGAAAAAAGTTTGGTTTTCATAAATTTAAATGGTGAATAAGAAATTATAGATTTGCCATCTAATTTCGAAGATTTTTCAAGAAAGATGTAAAATAGCTTTGATTAAAAAAAAGATGCTAGATATAGGTAATAATATATATTTCTATAAAAGTTATCAAGACAATAATAATTAGTCAATTACAGTAGAAACTAGTTCTTAATATGATGAAATGATGGGCTTTTTTAAGTAGAGGGCAAGTTAAAGAATTTTGAAAGTAAAGGATGCAGAAGAAGATTTAGATAATGAAATGTAAATTATGAATGACACCATATATCCTGAATTATTTTTTGGTGAAAAAAAATATATAGATTGTGTTTGTAAAAAATTAGGAAAAAGCTCTATAGATTGTAAATATTGTAACGGGAAAGCTTAAATTGATTACAAATAATAAGGATGGTATAGGGAATTAAATTAAGAGTTCAGACTAATTATTATTAAAAATTATCCAAAAATAAAGGAATACATCAAAAATAATCATAAAGTAGACATAAGAAATTTTGCACAATGGTTGGAATTTCATTCTAAATTGTTGAATCAATAACAAGACTTTATTTTATAACATTATCCAAATCTTTCTGCACAATC